GGGGGGCCGCTTAGATGACTTCACGGTTCTTGATGACTGGAGAGAACCTAAAAATAAAGATGTGAGTCTAAAGGCATTCCATGGCAGATGCCAATTTTTAAACAGAAAACACAAAGGCTAGAAAACAAGTGAAATACATTTTCTCTTTCAAAAAATGAAACAACAAAAGCCACGAGGCACCTACAAGGTGCCGAGCACTGGAACAGACAGTGAAAAAGAGCCGGGACGGTTCTTGTGGCACTGGGAGCCTGGCAATGGGCTGCGAACTGGGGATTTAATATCCTCCGTGCCGCACGCAGCACGGGCCCACGCTACAAAAGCTTGGAACTAATTCTCACAGCACATGTCTGACTCTTAAAGCCTCTGCGGCTGAGTGCACAATAATCCGGGGAAGATCTTCTAATTCAGATACAGCTGACCTGGGCTCATTCCTGCAACGGCAAGTTTCTCTATATTACGTGCCCATGTTGGCGTCAACCCTCCAGGATCACAAGATCCCTCCATCCATATCACCAGCAGAAAGCCATTCAAAGGTCAGTTTTAAACCTAAAATATTGACCAAAATACTAGCTACTCCCTATTTTTAAATATTTTTATTTGGCAAACTAAAACTCTTTCCAAGTTTTAAATTATTTTACCTAGCAGAAGAGCAACACAATGGTTTTCTCTAGCAACCAATGTCTCCTACTGTCACTGTTAAAGTACAGTTTTAACTATCTGATGTTACGCTTTGACAGGAAAACAAGGGTCTAAGTAATAAGTAAATGTAAGTATTTGTAAAATGATCTGTAAATAGTTCAGAAATTAGAACCAGGTCCATTATGTGATTCTTAACAGGAAGACTGTAACCAATGACTGGGGACAGGGAATAGTGATTAACAGTTTATATTTTGCACCCACTTTTGAAGATGTTCTGTCTGCACCATATTTAGTAAACCACAAAACATCTACACTTGTTTAATTGCCAGAAAAGAATATAGTTTCTTTTCTGTAGATGGAAATGAAATGCACTTAGAAGAATCAGAATGGACACTAAGATGTGGGAATAGAGTATCTGCTTATTTGCTAAACCACAACTGTTTGGTGTTTTCAGAGAAAAGTTTTGCTTATTTGAACCCTCTTTCGACGGTAGCTTTTCTGGAAGGATGGAGGGGGGCAAAGGGCCACCATTCTGACTGGAAACAAGGTGGCAGCTTTGTGCCAAAGGTTCATTTACTATGGTAATCCTATGTGGGGAAAATATACTGTTAAGCAAATGTTAAATCAATGATGTTGCTAAATAATATTTTCTAGTTAATTTCTGTACTTATTCTGTTTTAAAAATCATCAAAAATTCTTGTGAATTAAATGTCACCAAGTATTGAGTGAATTCACTCATTCATTATCTATGGAGCACAAACCATACGCTAGGCACCATTGATACAAGTTCAAACACAAATGTAATGAGATTATCATGGCAAACCCTGAAAGGAGCACATCTAAATACTAACATTCTAAATAATAAACACAGATCAAATTGTTGTTACAAAGGAACCACATAATACAATCTCTATGAATAATCTTCATGTAAAATGGATACAAATCTGACTTTAAAAATAATAAATAATTATTTGTAAATGTTCCTTTAGAAGAAAAGTGAATAAGACTTCACTCTAATGCTATAATTAAAGATGATTTACCTTCCACCATCTATTTTGACTACTATGGATCACAGTTTCATACCTGTTCTTCCAATAACTCCTGCCACAAGATACTGATTTCGTGTAACCTGTTCCAGCGTTCTTCAGTCCATCGGCACACTGCTGTCCAACGTTCACCAAGTTTCTAGGAAAGGAAGAAACCAACCTTTGTCAACAGGGTCTTAAGAAACAGTTATCACTCTCCTTAAAGTAATTCTTGACATCTGTTGTTCTCTATTACGGAGTAACAATTTATAAAAAATATATTTTTTTATTTAAAAAACTGCTTTAAAATAAAACAGATGAATCCTATAAATTTCTAGTTCAGAAAAACTAATTTCCATAGAATATAACTAATTATTTCATATTACATAGCTAAAAAGCAGCACAACTAGGAGTCTATCCTATAACTTTCAACTCCAAATTCAATTTCCATTTTATTGTGTTTTTTATTTGAGAATTTAACATTTTTACATACATTGTCAAAATATAGCGAACATCTACTTTTTGTGCTTCAATTTGTTTCAGGCTATAATTATATTTAAAACAAAATTCAATGCATCAATAATTTCTTTTCTTTTTTTTTTAATATATCTTTACTGATTTCAGAGAGAAGAAGGGAGAGGGGGAGAGAGAGAGAGAGAGAGAAACATCAATGATGAGAGTCATTGATTCGCTGCCTCCTGCATGCCCCCTATTGGGGATCAAGCCCGCAACCCAGGAATGTACCCTGACTAGAAATCGAACCTCGATCTCCTGGATCATAGATCAATGCTCAACCTCTGAGCCACGCCAGCTGGGCATCAATAATTTCTTAACCATCTTTTATATGCCAAGAAAATTTTCATTTGTAGTACAAAAATAAAATTTTAACCTTATAAAAACTGTGTGTTTAATGAGAGAATTACTATTAAATATAATTAATTGATTTTTTGTTTACATCACATGATCCATAGAAAATTCCACAAAATTTAGCCACAGAATATGTACAAGTATTAACAATACTAAATAAATTATTTTGATTACCTTTTTAAAAAAAAATCATTCTTCATGATAACTTTCCCAATAAATTATTCTGTTACCATTTTATAAATAATGATTAACAAAGGTTCAACTTCATTTGTACATTACTTAAATATGAGCAAGAATTATTTAATTCATTTATCCTATTTTGATATTTCATACCAGAGAAAGCCTCATACAGTGCAAAGAGTAGAAGACAGAGCCAGAGTACATCAGAGCCAGTCTCATCATGAAAACTCACTGTCTAAGTAGGCTAGACACGAATGCCTACCTCTCACGTTACTAGTTACTAAGTAATAACTAAGTACTTCTGCACCAAGGCCTCAGAATCACTGGCCAACTTTAAATGAAGATACATGCGATGAAATTACAGTCTGAAAGCTTTTCTGAAAATCATAAACTGGTAACATCATAGCAGATAATCCCAGTATTATTCAAATGAAATACCAATCAATCTCTTTGAAAAGACTTTACACTATAACCTTTATGCAAAAAGAAGCAATTTGTTGGGGTTCCCAAAACTGTTGTTGAAACTCACACATTGATCCACCAAAGAAACAGGGATGTTAAACCCTACATGGCTGAAATTCTCAAACTTTAATATGCGTGGACACTTTTTTTAAAGTGCGGATCCACTGAGCCCCACTCCCAGGAATTCAGGTCGGCATGGAGCCCAGGAATCTACATTTTAACAAATTCCTCAGAAGCCTGTGGACCACTTTTGGAGATCAGTTCCTGTGCTTCCCAACCTTGTTACTATTACACACAAGGAAGCTGATGACCTGAAACAGCCCCACCCACTCACCCCAGGGCTGATGCAAAGGAATGCTACCCAGGTTCTCCCGTAACCCACATGCTGTGGGACCCCAACCCCTAAAGTAGGTTCCTCTCCTCTTCTACACGGTGTGATGAGATATAAAGAACAGGGTACATGTAACTGGGTCTCAGACCACAGGTCGCTTGGGATTACCCTCCCATTCTTACCTGTAACTGATCTTCTAGGACAGCTGTGGCACTCTCACCGCTGTTTTCATCAACAATTACCACCATGTGAGTTAGTGAATTTACCTTCACCTGTTCAACCTCAAGATCATTTTGCAAACTCTAGAGAGAAAAAAATGAGATATACCATTATTTCTACTCTTTCACATTTACCTATTTAAAATCCACTCGGTTGTCAATAATAATTAAGGACATTTAATAAGGCATCGTGTTTAAATTTCCAATCATTACCCTAAGTGTTCTACTAATGAAACAAGCCCATTATACAGCCTTCCGTTTCATCATGAACCAAAGCAGTTTGAAAATGCAATGTCATAACAGATTGCAAACGGGATGTCATTACTTTTATTCCAAATTCTGGCAAAAAATAATGTAGCATAAATGAGTTGAATGTCTATACTAGGAATTAAAATTAAAATGTAGAATCGGTCAATCAAAAAAAGTCCCAAATTTTCGTTTTCTCTAGTGCAGCCTGACATAAAATGAGAGATAAGTAGATGCTATCTGATGGTCGGAAGCTATTCTGATAAGTACTGTAGATGCTATTTGACTAGCTACCCAGGAAAGCAATTAAGGACACAGACGACTTTCATTCTCACCTCTTCCACAGGATGAGCATGGCAGGCCAAGACGTACAAATATAGGTAATTTATTTAAACACTACCAACAGTGCTGTCAAATGCCTTTTGAGTTGCATTTAAAGTATCCCTAAAGCTTTATTTATCAGTTATCCAGACATTTCATTGAAAAATCAGATTATTCAAACACCTTGCAGACAAGCTACTTGCTCTACTTTTCCTTGACTATGAAAAGTTACCTCCAAAATTTGTGACCAAATGAAACTGCCCACCAAATGTTTATTCTTCACCTAAGGCCCTACACTGCCCTAGACTGGAGAAGAGGCAATAGCTTTCTTTCTAGGATGAGGCGCAGATAAGGCTTAGGGTTTGCTTCTTTACCCACACACGGCACTCATGCCCACGCCCAGGGCCTCTTAAGCACTTACAGGTCCAAAACACCCTCGAGAATCTTAGAGACGCTGTGCGCTTTCCGAAGAACACTATGCACACCCATACGAAACGTCACCTGGGCACCCATCCCAGAAAAGTCGCATCCCTGGGAACTCCACCCTCTAAGATGCAGAAAAAGGGGACACGGAAGAAGTGTCCCACTGCTGCCCTGATGACAGAGGCCCCTGAGAATGCTAAGTGCTGCCAGGTCATATTTGATAAGGTATAAAAGAAACATGAACGGGATTTACTTTATGGTCTTCCAGCAGCTTTTGGAGGGACTGCAGATCCCCGTCCAGGGGGCAGGTTTCCATCTTCTGGATGCGCTCTTCCGTGAGCGTTAGCCAGGCCGAGAGCTGCTGCAGCTGCTGCTTCTGCAGTTCCATCAGCACATCGTGCAGCCTGTCCAGGAGGGCGCAGCATTAATCCCACTCGCTTTTCCCCTTTGCAAAGGCAAATGCACACAATACACACCCCGGGCAGCAAAGAAATGGGGCAAGGAAACACATTCCTGTCTAACCATTTAAAGTAGCATTTAGTCTTCAAGTACAGAATCAAGCAAACTTCCATGTCCTTCCTAAAAGGTGTCATTTAAGTGCAGTCCAAAAATGCAAATAACAGCACCCACTATTCCTATCAGAATCACTGTCTCTTCAATCAGGAATTCCTGCATATTAAATAGGTGGAAATGACAAGGGAATGCAGTTTGCTCCTTAATACCCAATGCAGAAAATAAAATGACCGTGGGGGGTGGGGGACTGCTTTAAAAAAATGTTACAAAACCAAACTAAATAAATACTACATAATCCTGTCTTCATATCGAGTTAATGGTTAGCCAAGGTTAATACTGCAAATCAATAACTGTCCATATGAAATGTCCTTTCCTTTTTCCTAATTTCTGTACTCCAACCTTCACCTTCTAATCTGGTTAACACATCAAAGGAGAAACAACGATCATACAAAAGTCCGGCAACATTACACAAAGAAAAGAGTCAAATTTTACAAGGCAAGCTCTGTAATTATCTTGTTTTCACAGACAGGCAGACAATGATTTCCAGCTAAATGGGGCAGCGCACTTTATGGAATAAAGTGTTAATTTCTTGGCTTCCACTCACCGGGACTGTCTGTCCATACTTTCCACCCTAAGTGCCTCCCATCTGGCATTCAGCAGGGTCATTTGTTCCTGAATTTCAAACTCCTCTTCATCTGACAGAGTTCCTTGTGTTATCAGCTGGTTTCCGGCCTGCAGGACACTCCCCACACTGCTCTGGTGTGCGGTCAGCTCCATCATAAAAGCCTAGACAGGAACATCATTATGATTTTTGAGCAGCTCATTGCAAAAAATATATAAATAAATTATTAATGCTTAATTATCAAAGCTGCAGAAAAAGGCACAGTGTAAATAACGTAGACTTTGACCCAATTTTGAATACAAGAAAGAAGCAGCTGGCCTAAGTAAAAGGGGGAATCGATGGAAGAGGGCAATATTACATCAGATAGTAGCAACTGGTTTTAAGTAAATGCTGATTATGATACTGATAGATCGTGAACATGGAATTATGAGAAAACAGAATAAATAAAACACTATGCTCACCCAAAAAGAACTACTTAAAGAATATGACAATCTCTATTATTTTCAGACCAAACCAGCAAGTAAGACCTGTCAAATTAACATGCTGGCACACACACCAAATAAACTACTTAATCAAAAAGAAATCTCGATGCAATCAAATCAATACAGTGCAATATAATATATCCTGGAAATACTAGGAAATTTTCATTATATAAAATTATACATGAACACTGGATATGACATTTGCTTAATCATACAGTGCATAAAAATAATCACTTCCTGGGGAGCACTCCAAATCTAAAGACTTGGTGTATTTGTATTAATTAGCCACCCTGTGTTTTAACTGTAACAACAGGCTTCTGAAACTAGCAGCACTGTGCATTGATTTGTGTCGGCTCCACAGAATATACAAGTTACGATAAGATTAAAATCTAAAACCTAATTCCAGTGCACAGCCAATCACCCTTCTATTTAAGCAGAACAAAGCCCTATTTAAATATCACAATGCGCCGCGGCCTTTCTGGGGAGCAGAGTTCAGTAAACGTGCAGGTCGGGGCAGAGCCCCTGATAAGGCACAGGCGCCGGGCCGGACAGATGCCACTGGCCGGCTACAGATTATTTACTTCGTGGGTGGCAAACTGCTCCTTGACTTCTTCCACATCCTCCGAGATGTCATCCTGCTCCTGGAACGTGTCCTCGGCAGAAAGCAGCCAGGTCAGCACGTCCTCCAGGGCTGTCTGATAGCTGTCCAGGTCCATGTCCACCTCGGTGACGGTGCTGGGGGTCTCAGCCCGGGGACTCCCGTGCTCCTCCTCTGGCGCTGAGCTCTAGGAAAACGAAGCCAAGAGAAAACCCACAAGCGTCGTGAAGACCGGGAGGTGACCCGCAGAGACACGCTGCAGGGAGAACCTTCGAGGGGAAGCACCCGCCGTGCCTCAGGCACTCGGCCAGCTCTGGGGAGCGGGGCGAGCCATGCCCGGGGCCGGGCGGGCGCAACGCGTGTATTCAGGGCACTGGGATGGCACAGGGAGGAGAGCAGGAGCAGCGTGCACTCCTGGGTGCTGTGCTCAGGGGGAGTCTAACACAGTCGGGAAGAGACAAATAACCCCAGGAATCACTCTGAACAAAAATAAAATGGCTTTTAGCAAAGCTATAAATTCCATGGTTCCAATAAGAGATGTTATTTGAGTTCAGCAAGGGCTAAAATAGGAAAGTTTCATGCAGGATCGTGTTGGACCTTAAAAGATAAATATAAACTACAGAAAAGCAGGTAAAAATTGGAACTCTAACGGACCCTAGTTAAACTGCTGTTATTGAAATGCATTTTAGCGTTTTATTTTTTACCCCGAAAGGCAGCCACACATACAGGCTGTTGATGGTATTGTTTTTGGAGGCGGCTACCCTTAGTTCACTTACTGGCCTTTTTTTTTTTTTTTTTTTTTTTTGAAAAGCCCATGGGAATAAATTTATCTCAAGCAATGCATTATTTTCTATATACTTTAGAACCTTGGAACCAAATGAACTGTCTCTCTTCTGTTCATTTATTCCCTTTCAGAGCAAAACTTTAAAATCTGCCAGCAGCCTATCTACACTTAATTACCACTCGTCCACAATTTTTATGTATTTCAAACATACAAAAATGTATAGAGAACCATATAAGAAATGCTCATGTATGTGACAGCTACAATTCGTGAACACTCCCTTTCAGATTTGGTATTGGTCCCCACCGCTCACCTGAGAAGGCTTTTACCAGTGTCACCAATAACCTTCCCACCGACAAATCCACTTTTCTAGCATCATCTGGAGGATGACCATGTAATTAATTAACCAACAAACGAGAACATTTTTACAAAACCGGTGCTAGGATAACACACAGAAACCAGAAGTGTTCCAAGCAAACCCAGAGACCTGGTCACCCTCTTTCTTTCTTAAGCTCTCAGCAGCGCTCCACGTGGCTGACGCTCCCCACCCTCTTGAAGCCCTCCTTTCCCTGCCTCAGTAACACCACCTTGGCTTTCCTCCTGGTTCCACAGCCAACCTGTAAGTAATGAATCTCCTCAAAATCTCCTCCTGGGCCCTTTCTTCTGTTCTCTGTGTACTTGGTCTGAGTGGTTTCATACATTCCCACTGGATTTAAAGATCCATCTATATCCCACAGACATCTGCCTTTATATTTCTGGTCCTAAACTCCAAACTCCTCCGTCCAGCTGCCGTAACAACTTCATTTCAATGTCCTGGAGGCATATCAAACCATGTCTCTATTTACCCTTTATTTCCCCCCAAACTTAGTCTCCCTCAGGCTCTCCCATTTCTGTAAATGGCTCCTTCATGCACTAAACTTCTCCAGCTAAGAACCAGGGAGCCGGCCTTGGTTTCTCTCTTTCTTTCACCTCCCACATTTCATATGTAAGCAATTCCTACCTTCAAAATGTGCCTCCAAGCCATCCAGACCTTTCCATCTCCATAGCCGCCATCCCGTGCTCAGGCCCGCACAGCCTGCTAGCCGGTACCTTACTGCCTGCTGCCACCCACTCCCACCTCTACCATCCACATCTCACTCAGCCACCAGAGTGATCTCTGAAAACGTAACCGCATCCCAAGACTTAAAACCTTTCACTGCTTTCCCAGTGCTACAAGATACAATTCAAAATTCTTGACATAGTTTATAAAACTACTGTGACAGCAAGAAACTGAATGAGTGAGTGTGTAAGAGTGTGTAGGGTTGGATTTCAATAAGTTAATCAGGGAAGACTTCTCTGACAAAGTTCCATTGAAATTGAGGAAAGGCTGGAAGCTTGCCATGCAAACAGTGGGTGAAGGAGCATTTCATAGAGAGAAACCCACATGCACAAGACTCTTGGGGAAGCAGAGGAAACAGTCCACCATGACTGCACTGCGGTGGCCTGAGATGAATTGCGGAGGGAGGCTGGGTGTTGTAAACGACAAGAGAAGATGAGGTCTTCAATGAGCATGAAGGCTGAGGCAGAAAACACACACACACCAGAGACATCTTGGAGAAAGAATCAAACACAGACCCAGTAAACTGTATGCTGGCGTTTAAAAAAACAAATCAGTGAGCACACAGACAAAACACTGGATAGTTAGGAGACAGCTGGTGCCAAAGACAGAGAAGGGAAAGTGGGTTAAGTTCTGGACCTCAAATTCTGAAACTGAAGAGCCAAAATAACCCTGGAGAACTTCTAGCACCAAAGCTCTATGCTCTAATGATGCTACCTGAGAACTAGGAAACTTACCGAGTGACCAGCCAAAGGCTGCTGAGATAAGCACTAGGATCTAGGGAGGTGGGACATGGATGGAAGGCATTATCTAAATGCAAATGTCAGCAGGTATCAATTAAAACACAAGAGGAGACTTTCAACTGGGACATTCAAGAGAAATGCAGGAATTATTTGCTGACCACCCCTCAAGCTCCAGAGCACGTTTGTAGAAAGGCAGCAAGAGAGGAAGGCTGGCTGTCGGTGTTCGTGGCAAAGTATCGGAAGGCCAGCTCTGTCCAACACTAAATGATCAAAACTGGACCACATTTTATTTCTTCAATGAGCTTCATGCAATCTCTAAGGCACTAATGAAAGCATGCAAATGAAGAAGTTAGTGTTAATACACTTTCTCTAATTAAACAGCCAATGAGTTCTATAATTCATATCATGTCACCTTGAGCCCTAAAGAGAAGCAATCATTTTATCTCCACATCATGAAAGGCAAATGAAATCACCTTCCTCTTTAAGACAGAATAACCTTAACTATAGGAAGGAAAATATCCCAGCGTCCTATCAGAAGGAGCCCAATCCAAAAAACAAATGGCTCCAATCAAAAAGCAACCTCAGAAGATTATCTGAGCCACTCAAAAGGGTACATCGTTATTGCAGGGTAACAACTTCACCCCTAGACAATGCATCTCAGTATTTTCAGTAAATTATAAAAAATTACAGCTTTTCCTCAGCATCATTCAGTTTTCGAAACTACTAAAAGGGGCCCTCTGTCACCATCTGGCCCCATCCCTTGCCTGTTTTCCTCAATAGGCCTTTTTCCTTTTACAAAGTCATGCTAGTTTTGAAATGAAGTCGTTAAAAGGATTGGTACCTGCTACCCCAAAAAATCTGAAATAAGTAAGTTCTCTGAACCTTGGAAAAAGAAAAAAAGATGCTATGCCAATTCCAGACCATCATCCTTATACGAAAATTAACGAACATTTTCGAAAGGAATTTGTCGGGTGAGAATGGACGCCAAGACAAAAGAAGGGAAAATTAGAATGATGACAGCTGCTCTTGGGGAGTGCCCATCGAGATGATTTTAAACACTCTGAGTTCCTTATCTTTATGAAGTGGGTGGCTTTATCCAGATTTCACAGATAAAACTGTGGGTGTGAGGGTAAGTAACCAATCTAAAAGAATTAGGGAAAGGAATAAAATTTAAGCCACAAAGCCCATGCTTGCCGCCTCTCTAAAATGTACTTCTTATCACTTTGAAATTCACGTGTATCTCTTGGTTGATGAAATGTTGGACCAAATGACTTTTTAAGGTCTCACCCAATTGTTAAGATTCTCTCATTTTTATGAATTAAGAGGACCAGTTAGACTAAAACAGAGTAAGATAAAATATGGATTCATTCAAGGCAGGAGAATTCAGGAAGAAAATTCATGACTTTATTTATATCTCCTGGGTGGAGAAAAAACAATTTTTATCCTAATGAGTGAAACCATTATAAGCCTTGAAGTGGAAAAAAAACCCCACCAAGTGACATATTTTCAGTTATTCTTCCTAAATGAAGAGAAAATAAAGCTTGTGTTTTGATGGCCCTTGTGGAAATATAACAGTAAAAATCCCCTTGTTATAGGAAAAAAGGGGGGGGGGGAGAAAATCAGTAAAACAAAGCCAGGCTGACATGAGGAAAACCATCCTTCGCACAAAATGACAGTGATGAAAGATGGTGACCAGATGATGGAACAACACTGGTTCTTAAGCAGGTCACACAGCAGCATGATCACAGCCCCGGACCCCTTATTGTGTGAGACAGTGTATTTTCCTCCTTAAGGAATCAGCTGAGTTATGGCTTCCCATGACACGCGTGTGACACGTGACAGCTAGCTGATAAACTGAACTTCTCAGGCCAATGTAAGCTGACAAACCAAGATGTTCTTAGTCAAGAAAAATAATCCCCTGGAAGTGTTTTTCTCCAGTGCTCAGAGGTAACAGATAGGGCTGGGGAGCACTTCGGTGGGAAGGCGCCTGTACCTGCATAGTCACGTCTCCCTCCTCGCATTCCTTCTTGTATTTCCGTGGCAGAGTCTCCACCTCCCGGATGGCGTCTATGGTGACTTGCTGAGGGAGCACCTCGAACAAAGATGTTAAATACATAATGATGGACTTCTTGTCAGGCAGCTGAACAGCAACATCTAAAATCGGAAGGAAACAAAGACAGGCTTCAATGAGATGTCCGAAATATGTGAACTGCTCACTAGGAGATTTAAAATAACTGTCCTTAGTGCCCCTAAACAACACAATGATATAATCTTTGCAATGCTATAGCTCAGTGAGTTTCTGTTTCATGTAATAATAGATGAGCCAAAGGCAGACTCTTTCTTATGTTTGTTCAGGATCCCATTTCTTAAAATTCTTCCCTCAAAGCTTCCCAATGCTCAAAGATAAGCTACATTTAAGATGCTGACACATTTTATTCACATTATGAAGATAAGTCTAGAATTCAGCTCCACAACATTTGTAACTTAAGTTTTCACACTATCTACAAGAAGCATATATAAAAATGCATCTAAATAAAATAAGCCAAATACTGAATTGTCTATCTAATAACTGTATTTTCCTAAAACTTTAAATCTCATGCTGGTACCAAATAACTATTCAATGATGTAACTCAATTTCCGCCTAAAGGATCCTACAAATTGTTAAGTGCAAAAGTAAGAATAACTTTGCAATAAAATGACTTGCACTTGTGTTTCAAAGAGAAGGACAGTACTTAATTCTCATAATTCCCTCTTTAAAAAACAAACAAAAAAACCACTGCTCTTCAAGTATTCCAAATTGTAAAGCAAAATCAAGGTTGAAATTAAACACTGAACCATACCTTCAGGATCTAACAGCTTTTCAATTCCCAAATACGTCTGAGCCTTGCTGAAGGCATGTTCAAGTCTCTCAATGGGGGACATTTTGACAACTCTGTCCCAGCTGAAGAGGTCGGGTCTGAAAACACCATGCAAATAAAACGCAATGAAGACAAAAGATGTGGAAATGAAGTGGCTATTGTTATAATCCAGCACATTTCAGTTTTAGATTTTTTTTGCTTGTGAGTTTCAATTAACAAGTTTAATTTTATATCCCCAAAACTTGTCAAATATATAATATTTTTAAATAACTTATAAATATGAAAACAACAGATAAAACTTTCTAAGATTTTTATAATGGTTAAATATGCCTATTACATTTTCTAGGGTAACCACTGAAAGACTAAAAATGGTATATAATATTTCCCAAATAGTAAAAAAAAGGAAGGAGGAACCTTTTATATAATTAGAATCTGTTTACAAGTTTCATGGGAAAAAAAGAAATTTTCTATATGTAATTGAGATTGCATTGAATTTATAGAACTTTCCCTTTGGTCTAATGAATACTAGCACAGTTCTTTGTATATATTAGTGGTCAGTGCTGAATGAGTGGGTTGGAACTATGTGAATTATTTTACATTTTTTAACTTATAAATATGTAGAAGGAACCACGGACACTGCACTGTGCCACGTAAGTCCTACAGATTTGATGGGTTGTTTTTTCCATGTTATTTCTTTCCTTAATGTTTTAGTAGGACGTGTGCAGAGAGGAGAGCGGAGGTAGTGGCAAAGGAGCTCTAGGGGGTTAGCCATGACGGAGAGAGAGAGGAGATACAAATTTGGGAATCCCACGCCCAAGTAGAGCCGTGTCTCACTTATGTCGGTGGAGCAGGGCATTGAAGGCGAGCCCATCTGTCCAGCTGGTGGTGAAGTTGAGCACGTTGACCTGGCTGTACGGCCTGGTGGACTGGCGCACCCAGCTCAGCAGGATCTTCTCGCTGTTTGTCTGCTGCAAGTCTGACATGATATCCTTCATGACATCTTTTACCTGTGCGAGAGAAACCACGCCTGCCTGTAACTTAAAACAGCTACTGGAATCAAGTCCCTGAAGGAGGGATATTACATTAATTATCCACTATGGAGCAGGTCATTAGTATGCAATTTATTTCAAATTTTCCCTTAAACACTAGAAAGGTAAGTGCATTTTTAACAGTGATTATTTTGAGGCAGTAGGATTTGGAGGTGAGTTTTACCTCCAAATTCCACATTGCCCTATTTTCTATACCTGAAGCAATACATGTATTAGGTTTGATTACAGCAAACAGTACTTTCATAGTCACTAAAAAAGTACTATTTTAATACTATCCATTTACAAAGAACTTTTAATAGTAAGAAAGCTCAGTTATGATTTTCTGCAAAAGATGAGGACACAAGAGAGAACTTTGGACTGACTACAAAATCAAAAAATGGGATGCCTTTCCTGATTATAATGCAGAACTAATACTTCACATTCTTACTCTAAAGTAACATATGTGTTTTAAGGAGGTACCCAAAGAATGAGGGAGACACATCGAAAGGACGCAGGAGCTGGTGTAAGAGGGCCAATCACATGGGCCACATCTAGGAAAATTTCAGCATCAAAAGAAATAATAATAGCAAAAAATTAAAACCTATTAAATATGTAATACTCCCTGAGTGTACACTGAATATACAATGAATGAATGAATAAATAAATAAGCAGATAGCTAGAGACAGAGAGATAAACAAGAGACAAGGGAAATTTCTTCCTTACAAGCAGAAAGCCAATTAATAAAATGGAGAAAGCACGACTTTAGAAAATCCCTATTTGCCAAGCATCATAATAATAACTGATGAGCTAAGAATTACGACTGGACCTTAAAATTAATGAACAAAGATTTGATAAGTAGCTGAATATTTACACAGTCTCAGAGTATATCTCACAAGGTATTTTTAGTAACACAGGGCAGTCACGTTACAGTAGAGACATGCAGATACCATATTATCCCAACCATGAAGGTTAACCCTGCCAGAAAATAACTCCTGGACAGCACATGCTTTCTGGGGAGGTCCACTAAGAACAAGTCAACGTTACTTCTGTGGCATTCCTGCCTAAAATGAATAACTTGAGTCTAATCATGAGAAAATATCAGCCAACCCCACATGGAGGGACATTCTACAAAATAACCATCCAGCACTCTTCAAAAACGGCAATATCATAAAACACAAAGAGAGACTCAGAAAATAATCTCCTTGATTTTACTAGAACAATTTGTTTTTAGAAAATACACACTGCGGTATTTAGGCAAAGAGAAAAAGAGAGAACCCAAAAGTAGCCAACAGTTAACATTTGGGGAATCTGAGGAAGGTATCTAGAAATTCTCTGACCTATTTTTGCAACTTTTTGATAAGCCTGAAATTTTTTAATTCAATATTTAAAAAAGATACTTTCTTTTTTTCCATGCCAGGAAAATAGAGCAGTCTGTCAGTCTCTTCAATTCCAAATTGTTAGGAGTTGAATTGTGTCCCCAGCAAAATTCCTACGTTGAAGTGCTAGCCCCCAGTACCTCGCAATGTGAATGCATTTGAAGATAAGGTCTTTAAAGAGGGAATTAAGGTAAACTGAAATCATATAGGGGGACCCTCATCCAATGTGACTGGTATCTTGTCATAAGAGGCAAAGATTAGGACTATGGACACACACTGAGAGAAGACCATGTGGGAACAAAGGGGAGAAGGGACCTTCTACAAGCCAAGGAGAGAGACTCCAGAAAAAAACAACCCTGCTGACACCTTGATCTCAGATTTGTAGCCTGCAGAGCTGTGAGAAAATCATTTCTGTTGTTGAAGCCACCCAGTTTACGGTACTTTGTGATGGTAGCACTAAGAAACTAATACACAAATGATGTATTTAGAGTGTCTATTAATAAGGGATTGAAAATGTCCCACCTGCCAGTGCAAAATGATGCTCCAAAGCAACCCCAGCGTCAGCTTGTGATTTCCATCTACAATGTCAGTTCCTCCTATATTCACTAAATCCACCTATTAAAATAAAAAAAATTAAAAGTTTAAGACAGTTTCTCCATAGAAGCTCAGGATTTTGCTTGAGCACATCTGCACAGCAATGCGTGTGATGACCAGAGAAATTTCACTTCAGAACATCAGGTAAACCTAAATCTCAAAAATGTATTATTTATTCATTAGATCAGTAAAGGAATCGGAGAAAGCACGACTATTCCTTCAGGCATAGGGAAGTACAAAACTTCTCCTAAGAAAAGGATTTCCCAAAAGTGAGCTGATGCCAATGCGCACGCAGAGCAGGTGGCTGCTTTCAACAATAACTAATCCTGGGGCGCAAAAGGACCCCGAGGGTCACACGACAAACTTACATTGTTCTGGTGTAGAACCTGCAGCACTCTGTTGACGTTGTTTAAAGCATGCACCCTCGTGGAACCACGTTCCTTAGGCTGGAAAACAAAACACGAGACCAAATGAGACGGTCCCTCCACATCCCGACGAAAAACGACACTGAGATGCACAGAGATCAGCAGCAGCGGCGCAGCCCCTCTGTGGCTTCTCGGCCTCTGGCACCTGTGTCGGCAGAGGGACAACGCCCCACGCCACCACCCTAAAGTTGCAGGTCCCTCGCTGGCCTGTACACGGAAACCTCCAGGGAGCGTCCAAAGACACCAATGCCGCCGTCTGACCCCACCCCCAAAGACTGTGACTTAGTGAGTCTGGGGTGTAGTCTCTGGTCTGGAATTTTTAGAATTCCCGGGTAATTCTAATGTGCAAACAAGTTTAGGGGACAAAGCTTCTTTTTTCTAAATGGGTCCGGATGCAGAAAATTTTAGAAGTCATGTCACCTCCATAACTGTACCAGTGTGGACAGAGCAGGGGGATTCAGATGTGCTACCCCAGCTTCCTTACCAGCTGGCATTACCAGGGCCCACTGGGAAGGCAGGAATGCCACCTGGGGAAAGGTGATCTGGGTGGCGTCTTTCTGCCTCACTGGCTGGGGAATCTTATCTGAGAGAGAGACTGGCCTCTCCAACAGGGCCTACCCACCATCTGGAAAGCAAGAAAGGAATTCATCTTTGGGAGTGCATCTCTCTATACGTTTTACAGTAATTCTACCCCTGGTGTTAAAGTCTGTCTTCATAAAATGCATCCTCTTCGTTAGCCCTATTTCTACCTGCACAGTACCTTGCACATGAAGTAACAGAGTAGGATTTGATGGAGAAACAAACACAAAGACAATAATGAAATTTTGAATAAAAAGAAATGCCACAGCCCGGCCCCAGTGTGGCTCAGCAGTTGAGCATTGACCTAGGATCCAGGAGATCTCGGTTCGATTCCCGGTCAGGGCACATGCCTGGGTTGCAGGCTCCATCCCCAGCAGGGGGTGTGCAGCGGATCAATGACTCTCTCTCATCATTGACGTTTCTATCTCTCTCCCTCTCCCTTCCTCTCTCTCTGAAATCAATAAAAATATTTTTTTTAAATAATAATAATAAATGCTATAGTTTTTAAAAACTTTGTTTTAATTTTTGTTAAATAACATTTAACTGTGTCTCTAGATGTTCTGCTGCTCAAAACATGATGCCCTCTTTCCATATCCATTCTTCTTTATAATTCTCTACTGGGCTACCTGAGAGCAATAAACATTTAAAGTAATTTTATCTTTGATAAACATAG